GCTCTGGCCATGTAATTGAGTTCTATGAGAGCCTTGAAAAATTGAGTACGTCAATGTACTTTCGAGAGTACTTCGAAATTTATTAACACGCTTTCCTCTTTTGCCTATCCAAGAATATGATCTTCACCCCAGTCTGCCAGAGGCATCTCTCTATCTGGAGGGAGATTAAGGTTTGTTCTAGAAGAAATGCAGGAAAATGACTGAAGTAATATCTAGTTTTTAACATTCAAAAATAGGACTTTGTAGCAAGATCCGGTGCTATCTCTTGAAGAGGTCTATCTAAATTGCTCTGTCTTTTCTTTAGCGTATGGAGAGAGAATTTCCAGGGACACACTGTAGAGTTTCACATAAGAGAGAACAGAAACAAGAGGGAAACACTTTCCAACTCTAGGGTAATTGTGGAAAGATGATACAGAGAAAGAGGCAGGGGAAATGAAATGAGCTTATAAAAAGTGAAGATAACAACAAGGGCAGAAAGAAGCTTTTACCTTCACACTTCCCACCACTGTCACGCAGTGTTCCAGGGGAGGACACTGTACAGTCTGCCGCAGTCCAGGCCAGGTTGGGCCACATCGTTGTCACCTGCAATATAGGTGATTAGGTAGAGGAAGGACTCAAGCTGAGCTTCTTCAAATCTTTGCCCTTAGTTTTCAGAAACCCCAAAGTACCCAAGGATCTGGGTGGGGAGCTTTAAGAGGGTGTTGTTCAGGAAAGGAAGTGAGACACAGAACAGATCACCTAGGCCAGGTCTGAGTAGGAGTCACAGCCAGACCTCAGTGTTTTCAGCTCCAGCTGAAGCCAAACTGAGCCTTCATCTGCCAGGACAACTACATGAGAACAGACCCCAAGCCCACAGAATACAGATGCTAGCACGGGAAGCCAGCAGGGCCCCTGGCAGCCAGGCAGATGAAGGCGCATGGCCCCAGAGACCAGAGACCCAACACTCTCTTCTTTCTGCCACAAGGTCTTATAAGCCATCCCTTGTCCTGTACAAACAGTACCATCTTCAGGAGAGAAGAAGGAGGAGGACACCATCTAAAAGACAGAGCAAGCACTTTTATCCAAAAGAGACTGAACTCCATCTAAAAGGACTTATAGATTTAATGGATCCGACTAAGCTTTACATCCCCCTTCTGGCTAGGCAGGAGGGACACAACGATAGACCATAAAAATCATAGGTGAAATGAAGAAATTATAATTTCTCTGTCTATCTAACTATAGTGTCATTAAATTTTGTGACCAGTTACAAACGTGATGCTCTCCCTGCATAGAAACCTCCTCTCACCTATGCACCCAGCTGACTTCTTTTTGCCTGGCCGAGTGCCTCCCCAATACCCTATACTTAGTTTAACCAACCAGTTGTCACATTTGACTGTAATCATGTTTAATCGGACACCTTATGCTGAGCTATATGCTTCATGATGACAGGGTCTCTTTCTAGTCTTTCACTTTGCATGGTACTGGCACATTGAAAGTGCTTTCAATAAATACTCTTGAATGAAAGAATGAATGAATGAACGAATGAGAGGCATTTTCTATACATTTTGTGACCTTGAGAAAGTCACTTAAAATCTCCAAGGACATTAATCTGCTTATCTACAAATATAAAAAAAAAAGAACAGTCTCCGCCTCATACAGTTGATTGCCATGAAGAGTAAATGGGATGAGACAGGTAAACTATTTAGTAAAATTATTGACATTTTATGATTTTAAAAAACCTGAGCTATTACTGGTATCGGGAAATTATATTCTCATATGGCCTCTAGCTCAGTGCTGTACACATAGTAAATAAATAAATAAATACTTTATTAGTTGCTAAATGACGAAAATCTGAATTCCTAAAATATTTGTGCCTCTTTCTGTTTAAAAAAAAATAGCACTTTGCTAGAGTACATTTAGTATTACTTTAAGTATCAAGCTACTTAATTACATTAAAAGTAACATTCAGTTTGGTAATATTAGTTAAGAAAATCTTTTAAAAATCTTTTTGTTTTTTTGCTATGTGGAATATTCTTTTACAGAAAACCACCAGACACCTCAGTGAGTAAAAAGACAGGTGAGCTTATAAACATTATTAATGAAATACATTAGCAGTCATTGGTGTGTGTGATCAATCAATAAATAATATGACCTCCCCAGAGAAAAACCCCTTAGGCAAGTCAACTAACGTCTGAAAAAGCAGTCCTGGAACAGAGAAGTGA